CCCTAGCTTTTATACGCCACGCAGCTTGTACGGTCCCGGTGTATTGAGCAAGAAAAAAATTCTTGCCTGCTCTCAATGACCAATAACGACGGAAGAATGAAATAATAGATTTATATTAGTAATATAACTACTACATGAGCTCACGAAAGTACTACTGGTACAGCCCACATGGGCAGGAACACGACGCTGTACACGTTGTCGACGGGCCGCTTAAGCGGTAGACGAGGGTGTGCACGTCGCTCTTCACGGCGTTGCATCTCGGCAAGGGGAACAACGGTGTACGCGGGCAGGACGGCGGTGTAGTCGACGCGGATGAGGAGCTTGCAGGAGCGCCGCGCGGGGTACGTCGAGCACACGAGGCGGCGGAGAAGCAGGAGGTGGTGCCACACGTCGCGGATGGAGAGATGGTGGAAGAACACCGCGTCGGATTTAGAGATGGCTTGGGATTTGCCCTCTGGGATCAGTGAGCATGGAGGAAGGAGGGAATGGGCAGCGGGGGGACGTACCAAAGCGCTCACACTGCTTCACCTTGCACATGGTCTTGTACCCGTCTTGCTTCCATGCGAGCGGCATCTGGCACTCCTTGGAGCAGTACAGTGTCGTAGAGCAGTCGCCACACTTGCAGAAAGCATTCTTTGCGTCGACTTTGGGGCACTGGAGGACTTGGTCAGTCAGAGTCGTAGCAAAGACCTCGAGATTGTCGCACGTTGCGGCCCTCCCTTTCACTGTGACTGCCTGCATCACAACAACGTGCATAGCGCATGAGCGCGGGCAGCGTGCGCATGCCAGCGCGTATGAGCCGTGCACATGCGCCTGCCGTCCGCCACCCCACTATGCGCGTGCCCGCCGTGTCCACCTGGTGCCTGCAGCGCTAGCGCTTTACCCGCCGTGCGGCGTGGCGGCGCCCGCCTTACCTTGGCCGCAAGGTGGTGCCAACTATGGACATATGGATGCCACATCACTGGACGAGATTGCCACTGGGTGAGGAGGATGGATTGCGGAGGATATGGGATCGTGATGGTGCACCTAACAAGAGGACGATAGCGCAGACATCTAAGCACACATTTGAGTACAGCGCAGGAAGGAGATGAAAAATCGTCACCTACTTGGATCTGGGTATCTTCTGTCCCCGTCACAAGCAGCGCACTGTCGGGAAGGCGGGAGACGAGAGGATGGTGGCAAGAGGAAAGAACAACCATTGTGGCAGTGAAGCACGTGTGAGCGGACTTTGAGCACCGATCATCGGATCAAGCCGACGCCTTGGTCTTGTCGTCGACCACAACCGTATTTCAGTGCGATTTAGGTGTAGTAGGGCCATGTAATAGTAATTTGAATTCCAATGCCGCAGAAATACCCGGACAAGAAGATAATAAAATAAAATAAAACTAAATGTAGAAATACGCGATGAGATAGAAGTACATACCAGCAGCCCGACCGACCGAAACAATTCATAGATTATATAAGTAGCACTCAGCGTCGGCGCCCTCCTACTTCTTGTGCTCGCCTCCGTGCTGACCGGGAGGGAGATAGCGGGACAGAGAATGGGTAACGGAAAACTTGAATGATGCAGCATGTTATGCGGCTAGCTTTCCATAGTTGTCAATAGTATATAGTGAACACTATACAGTGCTGGGCAGCGCTATGCGAGCGCTAGGGGCTTCTATGGTTGCTATGGGCACTATGGCCAACTATGGCCAACTACGGCTCGGCTACGGTTTTCCTGATGCACTGTTTCCGGGCTTATCAACTTATCCGCGCGCTTTTCTAGGCCCCATCGAGCCCAACCCTCCGAGTCCAACGAAACGCGTGGCACGATATCGATGTCAGATACTAGATAACGCCTATCTAGAGTAGATCTAGGCCCTTTCCATATCAGATAAAGCCACATCCCCTGCCAATCATCTGTCACTAGAACATCATGTCCTCTTTCGCCCGTCCCAGGTCTCTGGCCTCTCTCATGGACAGCAAAGAGCCAGTCGAGGATGAGAAGCAGGAGGTCGGGCTCGATGCGGCCACTGAGACTTCTTCTCTCGAAATTGACAATTATCCATGGCGCGTCAAGGGTCCTGCTTTGCTATGTGTCTTGATGTTCACCAGTGAGCCACGCCTGTCTGCCGTCCTAATCGCCATTCAATGACTCCGTCCCACTCTTTAGTTGGATCGAATTGGGCCACGGCTGCTCTTTCACCGCTCAAGTCGACCCTTAAGGCAGAGCTCAAGATAAACAACGCTCAGTATGGCGTGGTGAGTTTACCAAGCGAATGCGAGAAAGCGGACTCACGCGTCAACAGATAGCGTCGGCGAACTCCCTCGTCAATACCGTCCTACCGATAATAGGCGGCATCGCGATTGACTGGTTCGGTCCTGAATGGGGCTCGATGTTGTCCTCAGGTCGGTGATTGTGACTACCGCATCGCTCTGTTAATTTTTTTTTCCAGTTTGTGTGTTCTTAGGAACTCTAGTCAGTGGCATCGGAGCAAGTCGATCCAGCTACAGGGCATTGGTCGCAGGGAACGTGATCCTGGGGCTTGGTTCGAGTAAGACTTTGCCTTCTCTGGATTCCTTACCGACGCGTCTCACAAAATTTCCAGATACTATTGAGAGTTGTCAATCGAAACTGTATACCCACTGGTTTTACGGAAACCATTTGGGTTTTGTGTATGGCGTAGACATCGCATTCGGTCGCGTCATCAATAGTAAGTTCAAATTTGCAGATGGCTTTCAATTAAATATCGCTCTCTTTCCCAGCCATCTCAAAGCGACATCCATTCCGATTGCGGAAGGAACCGGGTGGTGGGGATGGAGTATTTGGGCGAGTACCATTTCAACTTCGGTCCCAATTTCATATCACTTGAGCAGATTCCCTGCATCATGGCGGCAGCTACGTTGGCGATAAATGTGGCGTATATTTTCTTCGAAAGCAGACTTCCAAAAGCATCGAGGCTCGTCAGTGGAAGGGAGGCAGCCAAGCGCAAGACCGACGCTAATCAAGGAGCCACCCGAGAAGCCTGGTTCGCCGCCATATTCGCAATTCCGGCTGCTTTTTGGATCATCACAATTTCTCAAGTAGGTCCAAATTCACGGAGTATGAATCTGAACTCTGAGAATATCTTGTTAGTTGTTGCAATCGGGCGATGTCAGCGCGTATTCCAGTATTCAAGCGGACTTGATCACTCAGACTCGAGGCTCCAGTCGATTGGTCGCAGGATATACGTCTTCAATCAGTCAAAGTGAGCTTGCGGTTTCGTTATTCCATTATATTTAGCTCGCAACGCCAAGTCATTCCTATATTCGTCACCCCGTATGTCGTTTTAGTTCCCAGAGATATTGCTAATAACTGATTAAACTTCCCAAGGATGGTCGGCGCTTTGTTCGACCGCTACGGAAGAAGGATGTATTATGTGTCTGCGACCGCTGCACTGTGGATTCTCGTTTATGCATTGATTGGCTTCAGCGATGTCCATCCAATGGTCCCGTACGGTTTTTTTATATCCTCCTGAAGAAAAGGGGTACTCATGCCTTGATTTAGAGGTATCCTGGCATCTGTCGCGCTTAGCTTCAATGCAATCCCCTTCATCGCAGCGATCCCACTTGTAGCTCCATCCCAAGCATATCTTGGCACGGTGGGGCATTTATGCTTCAGCTATTTTGAGATTCTGATTTATGTTTATCCAGGCGTTTGGGGTGTGGAAGGGTAGGAATTCGTCCGAATATTTTCTACCAGCATTGACCCTGGGTTGAAATTTTAGCGTTCAACAGCGCAGCGGCTGTCATCATGGACGTGTCAACGGGCGCCATCCAGGACAAGACTCCAACCGGGACCCACACGTATGTTCCGCTCTCTGCTCGCTCGCTCTTATCTTCGAATGACTTTCGAAATATTTGATCTAGATACGATAATGTTCTGTACTTTCTCATTGCACTCAAGGCCGTCGACGTCATTTACGGGATGCTCTACCACGTTCTTGACTTGCGGTATTTCGGCAGTGTCCTGCGCATGTCCGAGGTAGAGAAACTGCGAGACGTTCAGCGTCAGGATGCGGAAGGAGATACCACACGGCAGTTCCCTTTGAAGCGACCGGTGAAGTTGTGGACGGTTCTGGGGCTTGTGGTGATGTTTTCGCTAGTGATCACTGCCTGGGTGTTGTATCTCGTGTACGCACGAGGCTCCTAGATAGTTACGCCCTCTTGTTTTGTCCACCACTGGTTTACATAAATGGTTCTGTGCGCACAGTGTAGCTCGGGTCTCTGGTCGAGATAGACAAAAAACCTCGGCAACACCGTGACCGCCGCATTTTGCTGTTGCATGTCTGGGTGTACGGCCATTGACTGGGTTTTTTTCTGTGTCAAAATATTAGCCACGGTAGTAGGAACTCTTACAATTCTAACTGAGGAATTCCCTAACTCGCCGAACCGTGAGAATTGATTTTGATGTCGGTTCAACGGGTCACGTGCCAGTGGCTCCATTCCTCAGTTTTCTGATCTGTGGTGCAAATTATCGCGCCAAGCCCAACAACACACTAAGCTACCAGACGAGGTGTGGGTTTCCAATTGTGTGCCAGGCCGAAGCTCGAGCACCACAGAGAAATTGAACAAAATTTGAACATTATCGCTTTGACTATGACGATCAGCCGCTCGACTCAGAGGCTCCTCGTTCTTTCTGTTGGCCAGGACTCCGAAATATGCGGATTTATCCTACGAAAAAAACTTCGAGACAGCGAGAATGTCCCCGAGTGGGTTCGAACCACAAGCCTCAAATCACAGCCTCGAGCCCCAACCCAAGATTCGGGAGTGAGTTGACTTGGCTTTTTGCATGGGACTTGGTTACAGCGCGTGTCCGGTAGAATGCACCCAATTTATGCGGTGGAAATTCCAATGGTACGCATGTATCAAATCAATGCAAGAGGATTCCGTGACTCCAGATCCTCTGTCGAGAACCAAATACAGATCAGACGGTACATATGTACAATGTTCGAAAAAATATCCAGTTCTCACCCGCATGTCCCCGGGTGGACTCGAACCACCGGCTCTCACGCACTTAAAGCAGATACCTACGAGTATAACAGGTGGGAAGTGAGCTGCCTTGCTCCACAGGGACTCCATGCACCCATTGTGAGCCTGACCGAAAGATGCATCACAGCTGGGTTAATTAACCTGGTATGCACCTTAGTCTTCGAGCCGCCCATCGTCGTCAAAGGCAAATACTGGACCAAAATCAAATTCCAATTGCTTCTCCCCTAAGCTCAACCGTATGAGCCAGCTCTCAGCCGAAAAAAAACTACTAATTCCCGACAATGTCCCGGGTGGTTCGAACCACCAACCCTCCCGGCATACTCGCGTAGCTGAACTGACATACTATACGAGAACGAGCCGTCTAATTTACTTCACGGGGACTTGGTGTCTGTATTGTGAGCTCGATTTAATATACGGCGTAAGATCTAGATGCCGAGAAGAATTTACAGACTGGTTCAAGTCGAGCGTTCTGCCGGTGTCGAGCCGAATATTTGACATCAACTCGCTGACGTCGATGAACCGAGGTCAAAGCAAGGCCCCCCGGTGCTCACTGCTCGTCTGTGTCGTGAGATCCAGCCAGACTCCAGTTGCGGAGACGTGGTCGTGGTTACCGAATGATTCATCCTCCATCCAACATCCTGGGTCAATCTGGCTACCGAAGGAGACCGCAAAATTCTCGAGACGAGAAAAAAAGAAGTACGAGAAGGAACTTGAACGAAAAAAAGCCTCACCCCTATTGTACGTCCCCAGGCGGATCCGAACCACCAGCCCCCCCACCGGAGACATCCGACCCAAGTTAAAGGTGGGAGGAAGCTGTCTCGCTCCACGAGAACGTGACATACCGGGTGGCTCCAGATACTCGATTGACTTGCTGTGGGATGCAGAGATGTCTCGACGAGGACGAGTATTTTTACGAGAAGGAATTTGAGTGAAACAGAACCCACACCTATTCCACGTCCCCGGGTGGACTCGAACCACCAACTCTCCCATATATCTGGATCTGAAATTTGCTGTGGGATACTGTGAAGCGAGATATGTCGATGAGGATGAGTATTAGAATAACGGCAAGAGACAAATTGAGCGATTCAGGTCCCGAAGACATTGCGATCCGGTATGTGAAAGCTTCAGGCTCGAGACAGAGTTCTAGTTGACGGGCCGGTGGCTGCTATAATAACTTGGGTTGGGGGCGATCGGGTTCCAACTTTTCAACGTTGCGGGTCGGGGTCGAGTGTTCGAGAAAAAACTTGGTCAAAAAAAGCGACGGCCTAACGTTTCATGTCCCCGAGTGGATTAGGACCACCGGCTCTCCCGTGCTTAAATCGCTTCCATGAAAGACAATAGGCGGGGAGTGAGTTGCCTCGCTTACTCCACAAGGACTTGGTACGTTTATTGTGAGATTGAGGTAGGTGTCAGAATAGACGGTCGAAGATGTTGAGAGTCAGCTTCTCCGTTTCCGCTCTTTCCTATTTCGGACTATTTACATATCGTGACTTCCCGTAGTACAAACATCCTCAGTCGTTCTTTATTCCTGACGACTGAGGTATGTTCTTACGTTCTTTACAGTTAACTACTTTACTGACTATAGTAGTCTCTCATTAGGTATATTTAACTGAGTCATTCTTTATTCCTGACGACTGAGTCTCTCATTAGGTTATGGGCCGCCAGTAGGCTAACTATTGCAGAGCAATCTGGATCCAGAATCCATCGTCGATTATCCTTCCCCTGCATCCCCAACCTCTAATACTTCACAAACTCCGACGCCGGTCCAGCCTAGGCCTGCTTCTGCTGCCATCATGTCACATTCGACTGCCACGTCATGGGAGCTTACACCTTCCGCGGCGCACTGGTTCCCGCGGCAGGAAGGGGACCGTCTCAAGGACGAAAATAATTACCTCCCATGGTCTATTCGGATGCTCTCCTCGTTCGACAGCTGCGACTTGAAGGGCATCGTCACCGGCACGGAAACTGAGGCTGCCGCCACAGACAAAGTCCTGTGGAAGAAGATGGACCGAGCTGCGCTCAATGTCCTTATGGGCTGCATCGCGTCTAATCTCGTCATCAAGGTCTCCTCCGCCAAATCATCCAAAGAGGCATGGGACGCGCTCGCGACCGAATTCGGCCAGTCGGGCGCCGGATCTGTCATGTTATGGTTCCGCCGACTTGTCAAGCCCTACACCCTCGACGACAGCCTTCCGAAGCACATCACGGAGTTCCAGGAAGCCGTAAAGCAGCTCCAGCTCGCTTCTTTCGAGATCCCTGATCACATTACCGCGGCAATCCTCCTGTGCACGCTTCCTTCCGATCCCCATGATCCCGACTCGTGGTATCAACATATCCAGGGTATCCAGATCGTGAAGGACAAAACCACGCTCGTCAGCGTCGCCCAAGGGATTCTTGACGCGAAGAGACGTGTACCCGGCTCGGATGTACCACCTAGCGAAGCCGCGCTCGCAACTGCCCTCGCCACGCTAGAGCGTTCTGCTCGCGGGAAGGGGAAACTGTTCTGCACGAACTGCAAGCGTGACACGCATATTTCAGCGAATTGCTGGGCCAAGGGCGGTGGAAAGGAGGGGCAGGGGCCACACCAGAAGAGGGGGAAGAAAAAGGGCAAAGAAAAAGAAAAAGAAAAGGCCCACAATACCCAGGGCGGGGACGGAGACGAAAATGTCGACTCATCTTTTGTTGGTTTCGAGCAATCTTATAGCGCCGCCCCCGTGGCGACGCATCTTCTCTATTCCGCGCGTGACGTCGGCTCAAACAACTCGACATTTCCCCTTCGGCTACCGACCAGGCGTATAATGCACGTACGACCGGCGCGCCACCCATTATTATCGATTCTGGCACATCCGCATCTATCCATTCCGACCGATCTCAATTCATCGCTTCGTCGATCAAGCCCGCCTCTTCCGATGTACGAGGTTTTGGCAACGGCAAAGTGAAGATCGAGGCTCGAGGCACCCTACGTCTACCGGCTAAACTCCCGAACGGAAAAATTGCAGTGCTTGAATTTGGAGATACTGCTTATGTCCCGAATTCGTCGCCGACACTGATCTCAGTATCGCGTCTGGACGAGCGCCAGCATTATACGTTATTCGGTCATGGCCGGTGTGTCGTTTTCCACAAAGATGACCAGGGCTCCTTCCTTCGGGAAATTCTGTCCAAGGAAGCCGTAACATTCACTGGCACGAAACGTGGAGATCGCCTCTACCACCTCGATACTCTCCCTCGATCGTCGGAATCATCATTTTCCACAACTACCTCCCATCTTTCTCCGCTAGAGCTCCTGCACTATCGTTTAGGCCATCTAAATTACAAGGCCATTCGTGCTCTCGCTCGCGGAAACATGGTGGATGGTATTCATATTTCCACAGCAGATTTGAATGTGGAACCACCCGTGTGCGACGCTTGCATGCGCGGAAAATTGACCCGAGCATCTTTTCCCCTTTCCAAGACGCCTAAATCCACGCGTCTGCTCGGCCGTGTTCACTCTGACCTGTGGGGTCCCGCTCCGGTTCGATCGAAGGGAGGCGCTCGTTACGTCTTTGCCCTTACTGACGAATACGGACGATACCGCTGGGCATTCTTCCTCCGGCGTAAAAGTGAGGTATTCACCACCTTTAAATCATGGCTGGTGGCGGTGGAGACTCTATTCGGCGTGAAATTGGCAATACTACGGACTGACAACGGCGGCGAGTACATCCTTAAAGCTCTCGAGGATTTTCTAAAGGAACGAGGTATACGTCATGAAACCTCGTCTCCACGCACTCCCGAGCAGAACGGACTCGCCGAAGTTACATTCCGCACCATTTTCGACCGTGTCCGTACCATTCTTATCGACGCGGGCCTTCCGTTCTCATTCTGGGCGGACGCCGTCAATTATATCATCTCTACATTAAATCGCAATCCTACCTCCGCGCTGAAGGGAGTTACCCCCTTGGAGCTTGTCGAGAAACGGAAACCCGACTTCAAATCCCTTCATCGGTTTGGCTGCAAGGCCTACCTGTACAATGCTGATCCCAAACGGCATAAATTCGATGAACGGGGGGAGCCCGTAATTTTCTTGGGCTATTCCGATACTCAAAAGGCTTACAAGGTGTGGCATCCTCGTACCCAGGATGCCTACTTCTCCATCCACGTCGCTTTCGATGACCATTCGGTTGGATATGGTTTGGCTGAGGGGGAGAATTTATCTGCTGAGTCTTTCCAATTTTATCCGTCTACTCTGGACGATAATATTGACGACACATCTTCTTCCAGCCTCCCATCTCAACCTCCTGCTATCCCTCTCGCTTCTCCCGAGGCCCCTCCTCCTCCGAAACCTTGTGCATCGCGTCCACGCAAGGATTGGGGTCCGCCCACTCATCACTCAGCTCGTCAAGCCGAGAAAATAGCAAGAGCTAACGAGGCGGACACCAATTCAGCCGCACCAGGGGGAGTGCCTCTAGAAGAGGGACCAGGACCTCCTCATGTCGATAGCGATAACGATTCTCCCCCGGTGGGTGACGAGACGTCTGCCCTTGTTCACGGTGACACTCCTTGCACCTACTGGGAAGCCATTTCCTCCCCCGACGCCGCCGAGTGGATAGCCGCCATGGACAGCGAGATGGACTCTATCCATCGTCTTGGTACTTACACCGTCGCCGACCTTCCTCCGGGCTGCAAACCAATTGGCACCAAGTGGGTATACGCAATTAAGCGGGACAATAACGGTGTCATTATTCGCTACAAAGCGCGCTTGGTGGCCCAAGGTTTTACGCAGGTACACGGTATCGACTATGGAGATACGTTCGCCCCCGTTGCGAAGATCGAGTCTATTCGCCTCCTCTGTGCCATGGCCGCGCATTACGACCTCGAAGTCCACGTCGTCGACGTCGACACCGCATTCCTGAACAGCGAGATCCCCGCTGGTCAAGAGGTCTATGCGAGGCAGCCGCTCGGTTACATCGCAGCTGGGCAGGAGAAGAAGGTGTGGGTATTGGCGAAAGCACTCTATGGACTGAAGCAGTCTGCGTACCTTTGGTATGAGAAGCTTCGGTCCATCCTCGTCGATATTGGTTTCCATCCCCTCATCTCCGACCCTTGCGT